GGTTTTGATCGAGGTTGGGTCGAGTTACTAATGCTGTGCATTTCCACCGTTAGCTATTCTATTCAAGTTAACGGGGTGAATGTGGGTACAGTTTGCCCCACTCGGGGAATAAGGCAAGGGGACCCATTATCCCCTTACTTATTCATTTTATGTGCTGAAGCTCTATCAATTTTATTGAAATGCAAGGAAGCCAGTGGGGATATTCATGGGGTGAAGGTGGCGCAAGGGGCCCCGTCTGTCACTCACCTCTTTTTTGCTGATGACAGCCTTCTTTTTTTCAGGGCAAATCAACATGAAGCATTGGCAATTAAAGAGTGTTTGGATCAATATTGTGCCGCATCGGGGCAGTTAATAAATTTTGACAAATCCAGTGCTGTTTTTAGTGCCAATACCACTGCCGAGACAAGGAGACTGGTGACTGACTGCTTCGGCGTTCCAGAAACGGCGGATCTTGGAAGGTATCTTGGCTTACCTTCGGTGATTGGGAGAAATAAAATTGCTGTGTTCCGTTATATAGAGGAAAAGATCCGGGAAAGAATAGGGATGTGGCAAAACAAGCTGTTATCCAAGGCTGGAAAAGAGGTTCTGTTAAAGAGTATAGCACAATCTCTTCCTATTTTTTCTATGTCAATTTTCTTACTGCCAATGAGGGTGTGTGATACGATTGAGAAATTATTCAATCGTTTTTGGTGGGGAGGAGGGGGAAGTGGTAACAGGGGGATACATTGGTTGAGTTGGAAGCGACTTTGTGTGCCTAAATGCAAAGGCGGGCTAGGATTCAAGCGTATCCACGATTTCAACAAGGCGTTATTAGCAAAACAGGGTTGGCGGCTGCTAATCCATCCCGAGTCGTTAGTATCCAGGATGTTGAAGGCTAAGTACTTCCCAAATTCTGACTTTTTGACGGCCAAAATTGGGGTTAATCCTAGTTATTTATGGAGAAGTATATTGGCGGGTCAAGAGGTTTTGAAGATGGGAATAGCTAGAAGGATTGGAAACGGGAAAGATGCTAAGATATGGGATTGGGGTTGGTTGTCAAACTCTGCAGGTATAAATCTAACAACTCCCTGTATAGACGAACTTAAGGAAGCTACAGTAAGCAGTTTGATGACTGAGCACGGTGATTGGGATGCAGATGTGCTTCGGGACATTTTTAATCCGCATGATGTTCATCATATTCTCGCCACTCCTGTGAATAACCAACTAAAGGATTCGTGGAGGTGGATTGGGGATATAAGGGGGTGCTATACGGTGAAACACGGGTACAGACTACTCACGACCAATCCTTCGGTGGATGTTGCTGCTACTGATTTCCAATCATGGACTAATCTGTGGGCGCTACCAGTGCCACCAAAAGTCAGAAATCTGCTCTGGCGTTGTGTGCGGGGTATCTTGCCGGTACGCGAAAATCTGAAAGCTAAGCGAGTGTGGATTGGCGGTGGCTGTCCTTTCTGTGAGGGGATGCCGGAAACTACGGAACACATTTTCTGTGAGTGTGTTTGGGCTAGAAGATTATGGGGCAGCGACGACGTCCTTCAAGGCCGTTGCTTGCTGGCTTTTCTGGATTCCATACTGGGAGGATCAAACCGAGAGGAGGCAGTCAAGTTGGCTGCTATTTTCTGGACGGTGTGGACCATTAGAAACGACATTGTATGGAATCAAGCTTCATGGTCTTTGGATAGCCTCCGGGGCCAAGTCGAGAGATTGCGGATCAGCTGGAAGGCAGCGTTCAGTGGGGTGAGGAATCAGGAAGTGGGGCAGATTCATGCGCCTCGCTGGACTCCTCCGACAAGCAATATGTTGAAGTGCAATGTGGATGCAGCTGTGTTCAATGATGGTGCGGGCTTCGGTGCGGTTGTGCGTAATCACGAAGGCCGATTTATCGCTGCAAGAAGTGGTAGATTGGTATGTAATCAGCAACCTTTTATGGCTGAAGTCTTGGCAGCTAGGGAGGCTTTAAAATGGCTCGCAGGGATTCAAGGAAACCGGTTCATTTTAGAATCTGATTGTTTAGAGTTTTGTAATGCTTTTAATTCTAGTATGGTAGATTATTCGTATGTAGGCACGATTGTTAAGCAATGCTTGGCTATTGCTAGAGACATTGGAGACGTTCATGTCCGACATGTCAAGAGAACAGCGAACCGAGTGGCTCATGCACTTGCCCGGGCAACTGGTTCTAGCCCTGTCTCTAAGTCGTGGGCTGTTATCCCACCTACGTGTATTTCTGAGTTGTTATGTTCTGAATGAAGTTGCAGGTTTTTGCTTTCAAAAAAAAAAAAGATTGCCTAATCCTATAGGATTGATATATTTGCAAATATGATTGAATTTTAATTGATTCCCCTTCTCCAAAACATTCAGATCTTCAAACAGCCTATATGATAGAATGAAAAGTTTTGGATTACAAAGTGAAATCACACTTAATTCTTCTTGCTCTTTCTTGCAAAGCAATTGGAACTACTGAACTACACTTTAATTTGGAAGGCTTTATTTGCTAATTAATCTTCCAAAACCCATAATTACTCAACACAAATATCACTAAAATTTGAAAACTTAATTGCAGTCGATCATCACCACACAAATCAATTGATCTTTCTGCAATTTGTTCTTATCTCGCCACTCGTTCCCGTGAGTGGACTAATGTTACCCATTTTCACCATTGCATTAGCGAAATCCGTTGCAAAAGTCGAGGGATTGGAACTATAAATATTGACTATGCTGTCGGTAGATCCACTGTTAAACAACTCCTGATCAGAGTGTAACAGTCCCTTTTGACTTTGCAAATTCTTGAAATAAACATTATCGAATAAGATCGAAGTGGCGGTATCGAGTGAAGCGAGATTGTTGTCGCCGCCACTTTGGGGACAATTTTCTCGTAACGATGCTGCGAATGAAGCATTTATATTCTTTTCGTTGTAGATACGATCTCGAAAACTAGTACACCTGGCCTGCCCAATTGTGTGACTTCCTAAAATTGTTCACACAAACAAAATGTAATAAGATTACAAGGATACAATTAATTATTCAGTTGTCAAACTAAAATATAAACTAGTTGCAAAAAATTCTATTAAAATGTAAAATTAATAACCTGAAAGAGCAACCATTTCCCTGGCGCTAAGACCTTTGTTGGAGAACAAAGAAATAAGTTCACTTAAACTGAAACCTCCTCCAGGAAGGTTACTAATGGCAGCACTTAGACTTGCAGTCGTTGAATCTCTTCTACCTAACAAAACAGTCCAGCTAGGGCCATCAAGCTGTAGATTAACATTTTAATAAAATTAGTCTCAGTTAAATTTTTAAGTGACGAGAAAAACTCACAACCACTATTCGAGAGTTTGTAGTATTGGGTAAATCTTGTCTTGTGGTCCTAGCTGGCAAAGGTCCACAAAAATGTAAACTAGTCTAGATGCTCATAGTTGACTGACTCAAACCAAAAAGGTTAATAGACTATTCCCACTAGGGTTGAACTTGTAACTTTGTGATTATTATTAGGTCAATATATAGTCTGACTAACTTGGTTGGGGCTGCCACAATCTCAATTAAATTTTGTTAATTTGATGACATTATAGTAATCTATGTAATTAGATGATAAAATTAAATGTTTGGGAGTTTTCTTACCGCAAAAACTGAGTCTCTAGCAGCAACAGCAAGAATGTCGGCACAAGACACAATACCAGAACAAGATTTTTCGAGTTCAATCTTAATATTATCTATTACATCGAGTCCTCTAATTGACTTATTCGAATCAGCAGATTGTTCTCCAGTGAAATTGGCCGTGTGATGGATGCATCACACCCCTGTTCCAAATCAAATATTATATCATTCACAAAATCCAGGTTGCACCCGAAAAAAAAAAACCATTATCTTAGCTAGGTATATATGCAAGGTAGACTTAATAGAAAAAGGGGCAAAAAAACCTACATTAACAAAACAATCATGAAAATGGAGGCGGAGCAAAGATGCACCCATCCGATGCTCCAACTCGACGGCATTGGCGACAGCGGTTTTGATAATGGAGAGTGCGTTTGGGCATGTCTTAGAGTAGAAATCTGCGGAGAGCTGAGCTGAGTAGTTGAGGCCAAGGAGAAGAGACAAAATGAGCAAAAGAAATGAGAAGCAGAACCGGTTATAAGGCGTTGTTGATGAAACAGCAGACGCTGCCATGGCAGGTGGGAGCCAATGAAGAAGAAAAGAATTAGAGGATGGGGCTGTGGTTGCCTAATGCCCAAAATATGCTTCTATTTAAAGGAGATGTAATTAAGTAATCATGCCTGTATGGGTAGTTCAACTGGTCAGGTAAAAGTTGAAAAGAATGACTAGAGATTGAGTTTCACAAGCGGTAGCATGGGAGTCGACCTTTGCACAGTAAGCAAAGATCTACCCTTCCTTCCAAATGCTCTGTTGGGTTGGGATTCAACCTTTTGGAAAGAATTAAGTAACCATGCAATAATGCCACATACATATGTCTCAACTCTCAATCAATAATAAGTTATGATTTTATCATTTTAACGAGTAAAGCAAAAGCTGCAAGCAACTCACATCCGAATTGGTCTGATAATTAATTGGCTAGGTAACCACAAAATTATAAATTCAATTCTCTTGGGAGCTGCCTATATATTGAATGGCTTTGATTAATGTCCTTGTGGTTCTTTAAAATTAGAGTTGTAGTAAAGTAGAGGCTATTGCGAGTATTAAATGCTGGAAATTAAATTGAGTTCAGGTAATCTGACTTAAATTTCGAACGTGAATTTGGGTAATTTGTATTTAAGTTTTAAATTGGTCAAACTGTGTTGACTAAACCAACTCATAACTAACTACTTTTTGTTAATGGTTACTTTATAAATAAATAAATAATATAGGTAAAATTATAGTTACGTTGGACGACTTTATCATTTTTTTTTAAAGTTCATTCAATGTAAATAAGAATTAAACCTAGTTAAAATTTACTCCGTATAAATAATCAAACCGCCTATATGATGAATGAATATAATGTTTTGGATTATATTACAAAATCACTTGGATTATATTAACTCAAAACTTGTATTAATATATGAGTTACAATTGCCAATATTGGATATGATAAAAGCAAAACATATTAATTTTTCTTGTTCTTTCTTTATAGCAAAGAAAATAAAATACCACATCTTCACCTACCCTTTGGAAGGCTTTATTTGCTAATCATCCCAAACCCATAATTACTCAACAGAAATCTTACTAAAATTTGAAAGCTTAATTGTACGTGTTCACCATACAATTCAATTGGTCTTTCTGCAATTCTTTCTTATCTGGCCTTTAGTTCCCGTGAGAGGGCTAAGGTTACTCATTTTCACCATAGCATTAGCGAAGTCTGTTGCAAATGTCGAAGGATTGGAGCTATAAGTGTTGACTATGGAATCTGTAGATCCGCCATTAAATAGTTGCTGATCGGAGTGTAACAACCCCTTTTGACTTTGCAAATTTTTGAAATAAGCATTATCGAATGAGGTTGGTGTGGTGGTGTCGAGGGGAGCAAGATTGTTGTCGCCTCCACTCTGAGGACAATTCGCTTTTAGCAACGTTGCGAATGAAGCATTTATGTTATTTTCATTGTAGATACGGCTCCGAAAAAAAGAACACTTAGCCTGTCCAATTGTGTGACTTCCTACCATTGTTCACACCAAAGAAAACAAAAAAAAAGTAACATTATAGGAACATAATTGATTATTATTATTATTATTATTATTTTTGTGACGAAAGGACATAATTAATTATTTGGCCGTCATAATATAAACTAATTGCAAAAAAATTCTTAAAATATAAAAGATTACCTGAAAGAGCAACCATTTCTCTGGCACTAAAACCTTTGTTAGAGAAGGTAGAAATGAGCTGACTTAAACTCAAACCAGGTCCAGGAAGGCTGTTGGCAGCACTTTGGCTTGCAGTGGTTGAGTCTCTTCTACCTAATAAAAGATTCCAACTAGGGCCACCAAGCTGTAAATTAAGTTGATGCTCACATGTTAATACAATGGCCTATATGTTACATGCATTATTTTTTAGGGCGACGAGAGAAACCCGTAACCACTATTCGATGGTATGCATCAGATAAATTCGACATGCCTTTTAACTATAGTCGACCCGGCAAAGAATTATGAGGTAAACCAGCCTAGGTTGTCTTTAACTGACGGGCTCAAACTATCAATAATGTATGTTAACATGGTGGAATTGAATGTAACAATTAAGTTATTAGCGTTTTTCTTAATTACCGCAACAACGGAGTCTCTAGCAGCAACGGCAACAATATCTGCACAAGACACAACACCGACACAAGATTTCTCGAGTTGAGTTTTGATATTGTCTATTACATTGAGTCCTCTAATTGAGTTAATATTTGGACCAGCAGATTGTTCTCCCGTGAAATTGGCCGTGTCGTCCAATAAGATGGATGCATCACACCCCTGTTCCAAATCATATATTATATCATTCACAAAATCATACATGTAAATATATTATATATTAGTCCAAATCATTGATAAGTCAACGTAAGATAAATAAATCGCTTAAAACAGCATTCATCATATAATTAACAAAAATCCCAATATTATATAATATTAGTACGATTCATATGCTTAGACTATAATGAAAACCAAAGACCGTAAAATACTATACTAAGCATTCAAATAGTATTTTACATATTAAACTCAAGAAGTTTTATACCATGCAAATGGAGACGAAGCAAAAAAAAAAAAAAAAAAAAAAAAAAAAAAAAACGAACATTAACAAAACAGTCGTGAAAATGGAGACGAAGCAAGGATGCCCCCATCCTGGCCTCGGAGTTGACGGCATTGGCGACTGCGGTTTGGATAATGGAGAGTGCGTTTGGGCAAGTTGTAGAGTAGAAGTTGGCGGATAGCTGAGCTGAGGTGAGGGAGAAAAGGAGCAGAAGAAAAGAGAAGCGGAAAGTCGATGGAACAGCAGAAGCCGCCATGGCTGCTGTAAAAGAGGTGCAGAGATGGGAGCGAATTGAAGAAGAAAAGAGGAAAGGAATTAGATCGAGGGGGCAGGCTTGTGGTTTTCGATGTATATATTGCCCAAAAATATGCATGTATTTATAGGAGTGGATAATAATTGAAGACAAACAGACATTAGCTGTTTTTCATTTACTTTAATTTATGTCTTATTCGCTCTTTTCAATTCGTCGCTCACAGATCATATATCATATACACACGCGCATACATACATGCATATAATATAAAATCGATTAAAATTAATGTTGCATTTTCGAGCAGATAAAATACATACTTACCACTATCTTAAAAATTGGTTAGAACGAATAAGTTGATAATACAAATATATATATATATATATATATATATATATATATATATATATATATATATATATATATATTAGGGTAGGGTTCTAGTGAGAACATGAGAACACATCATGTGCATCCATCTAATATTTTTTAATGGTATAGATTAGATTAAGTGTCTGCGAACGCGCATTATATATATATATATATATATATATATATATATATATATATATATATATATATATATATATATATATATATATAATGGGATTTAAATTTTACAAAATTGATTTCAAATTGAGAAAGAACGAATTGAAATGAAGAAAAAAAAATTGAAGTCATGTGTAACATATATTTTTTTTAAAAATTGATTAACTACCTACTAGGACCATTGTACGAATGGATTATAGTAATATAGTTGAGTACTTAAGTTATATAACAATTTTTTGTCTTTTAATGAAGAACCTGAATAAGCTTTGATCCAACTTAAAATGGGAATGACTGCATATATTTTTATTACAAAATAACTACTTAAAATGAATTTTTTATTAAAAAATTTATAAAATTATATTTAATAATGAAAGCATAAGTTTACTTTAATTTTTTATACTCGAACGTATAGAAATTCATGTTGAATGCTAGACTTGACTAGATAGTGATTTGTATATAGTGGCATTATTTGTTTTGTGCAAAGAGCCAAAATAAATTTATAAGATAGAATACATTATACATATGCATGTATAGTAAGTCTAAAGTTTGACGATATGTAGTTTGACTCTTTGTCATACGTCACTAGTAAACTAAAGCCACATATAATTAGAGTTATTAGAAAGATTCCACGCGTTTTTTTTTTTTTTTTAATTTTCCATTTAGGTTTTTCAACTTTCGTAATATGCTTCCTAACCCATGAGAAAATATTTGGTAAATTAGCGGTTAATTGTTTACATACAAAATGACTTTCTCAAAAAACTGATCGAAAAAGTTACTCAAAGTAACTTTTTGAATTTTAACATTTTGGAGCAATAAGTTGTTACAAAAAACCAATTAATCAAACACTCATATTGATTGTTTAACCAAGTTAAACAGCTAATAGTGGTCAAATAAGTCAAAATTGGCTTATAGGCTAATTATTTTACCAAACAGAGCCATAGTCTATTTTGCATTGTGGATTCTGATCCAAAATAACATTTAAATTATGTATATGCAGTTACAGGCCGTTTGGTTGGAACGAATGAATTATTATGAAAAGAAATTGTAATTCGGTGGGAAAATATATTACCTGCATCTACATAATTTGAGAAGGGTACACTATATGCATAGCAGACCCTAGTTCACAATATAACAAATGAAAATAAATTCAAGAAATTTAACTTTGAGACTCAACACAAAACTATATATAGTATTTTTGCACACAATAAACCTAATCCAAATTCAAACCAAAACCTCTAATATTTCTAACAAGAATCAAACTTTCACCATATTAGTGAAAGTAAATCTTAAGTGAACCTCTGTTATATTATTATTAATTCATAAATTTATTCAAAATGAAGTTTAATATTTGAATTATAAATCCTTCCATTTAAATACAAAATTCAAATATCAACTTAAATAAACTCAAAATTGTTATTTTATGCGTTTAATATGTGATGAATATATTACGAATGGAGCCGGACCAACCTTAGAGCATGGAACAAGAACGGGGTAATGTTACGTGCCCAATTCGCCTGCCTCGGCACAAGACCTTGGCGGGAGGTCGGCAGAAGACCTCAACAGGACCTCGGTGCGAGGCCTCGGCGGACACCTCGGCAGCCGCCTCGGTGGGAGGTCGGCAGAAGACCTCGACAGGACCTCGACGCAAGGCCCTCGGCAGGAGGTCGGCAGCCGACCTAAGCCGCGTTACCCGGTCTCCGGACCGGGCGCGGTCAAAGCGGGGGACAACCATCCCCCCGAGTTAGGCGGGCAGTTCGGAGGCCCGTGGCTTGTATAAAAGGCTCCTCTTTTGTCCAATTGAGGGACGTTCACTACTTTCATTACTATTGTCCTAATCAAGCCTTGTAATAGCTTATTAGCGATATCTAATACAATATATGGTCCCCGCGACCTTGCAACGACATCATTATGTCCTTTTACTATTTACGTTCTTATCCGGGTTTAGTAATTCGGGCCACTCCGAATTAATTAAATCTATCATATGTTTATGTTCAATAAATTATGTCGATCTTTAATTGAGCTGGGACTCGAATCTAAAATTTCTTTTATGACAAGCAACAATGATTCTATCAAATCACAAGGTATTTGGCTAATTATTTGTAAACGCGTTTTGTGTGTGAACGATGAAAACATTTCAGCATCTATCTTCTCATGGCAATTGGCAGGGTGTATAAGTGGCTAATTAAATTGAAAGTGGCAGTAAACGCAACCGGCTTTAAGGACCATTCCATTCACAAAACGACAATTTGAAGTCTACCACTATGGCACTATGCAAGGATAATGCCTATCATTTTTCTTTCTTTCTTAAAATAAAGTGGCACTATGCAAGGATAATGCCTATCATTTTTCTTTCTTTCTTAAAATAAAGTGATTAAGTTGAAAGGGAAATTGTAATTTTAGTCCTCCAATTATTTATTGTTAGTGATTCTAGTTTTTAATTTTTAATTATGACAATATATACCCTTAACTTTTTTTAAAAAAAGTTACATTTTTAACCTCTAGAGCAATAAATCTAATACACGTACGGATCAATTGAGGTATGTATATTTTAAAATTTTATTATCTTTGTTCTTTATAACATTGTCAGTTTTGGCATTTCATATGCAAAATATAGATTTGCCAACATTCTTCACTAAATTTTTCATTATCAATGTGGCACATCGTTCCTATTTTCCTTACATGACCCTGTTAAAATCATGTTTTTTTTATTTTACAAATGAAATATCGAGACTAAATAAGAGTATAATTAAAGAAGAAACATTAAAAAGTACTAAAATACCTATATACATACCAAGTAAATTTTTTATAAAGTTTAATAGTTATGTTGCTCCACGGATTAAAACTATAACTTTTTTGAAGAGTTAGATGTGTAAATTGTGACGGTAAAAAGTTAGGAACTAAAATCGCTAGCAAGAAATAATTAAGAGACTAAAATTATATTTTTTTTCTTTAAGCTAAATATTAGTCAAGTATTTTGATGATATCATTTTTGCTTTTTCATATTGTGAATTGTGAGGGAAGTTGTCATATGTGCCGATATGCGTAGAAGTTGGGAACATGGGTGTGGTGGCAAATGGCAATGGCTAACAAAGGACATCTAATATTCCATGTTTATCCTATAACTTGATAACTAAAATACTACAAACTATTGACAACCAACCATGAATAAGAGAAATTATCTATGTTATTAATTTTTTTCTTTTACTTTAATTTTAACCCAATTTGTAAAAGCATCATATAACAAGTTAGTATACCATATAATGAGATGTTATACCATTGACGTATAAATTGTGTATTGGACCGGGGTCCACATTGCAAGATAGACACATGTCCACATAATAATTTGTGCCGTATAATGCTCTTAAATAAATTTGAACTTATTATTAAAAATGTCTATTAGCTTTATTAGTTTGAACTTATCAACTATTGACAATAAGTTACAAAATAGGTTTCATCAAAACACATATTCAGTTGGCGGACTTTCTCCTAGATAAAAAATAATATTAAAATACTCCAAAAAATACTTTCATTTACAACATGAACAACAACAAAAAGGTTAAAGAATTTCTCTCGATTGGGGAAAACTTAATTATCTGGTTAGCTGGGGGTATAAAGTTGTACCCTACATGAGGAAGAAATCGAAGATATTGTAAGTAGTGGGGCCGTTTTGGAATTTTGGTAGCTTACTTTTTATGATTAAACCGCGTCAGTCATGGTTTGCATGTACCACATCGTCTTTTTGACTATTTATTTCCATGTAAATCAACAAATCAAAATTGACTTTATAATTATTGTGTACGAAATGAAACCTTTTTGTCACCAACAATATTCCTTACGTAATTTCCAATACTACATTCAAATAAAAATGGGAATTGAAGGATAGAGATAAGGAAAAAAGGGAAAAAAAAAATGAAAAGTACTGTGTGTAATTTAATCTCACATGATTTTTGCTTCTAAAAAAACCCTATTGGAATTGTTCTTAGCCCCCTAGATATAGTTCAATGATGCAAAATTTGTGGACACCAGTGTAACAACTTCTCAAACCCAAACTCACTCATACGCATCTCATGATTTATTTTCCTTACAAGACATTGGAGGCGACACAAAAGGGATCCTTATAGTTTGCTTGAGAATTGAATTAATTTTTATTTTTGGAATTTGAGTCCTTAACTATATACTCCCTCTTATCTGTTCCATTTTACCTGTTCTGTTAATATTCATTCGTCAACTTAATTTTTTTTTTTCTTCAGTATTTTAAAATTAATTTTAAATTTAAATTTTTGTGTTTAATAATACTTTTAATGTAGTTTCTAAATATATAAATTTTATATACTAATACTAAACTTAATATTATGAAAAATTGAGTTAAAAATAACTTCACTCAAGTCTCGTTTATCAACTCAGAGACACATAATTAAAATGAGACAAAGGAAGAATAATTATTAGATTATAGTTCTGGCATAGTTGTTCAACTAGTCAACTAACTCAAAATAAATTCATAAACTTTACTTTGCTAACAACTGCATGTGTTTCGTAAGGTGAACGGTTCGA